CATGTGGCATCATCTGCTTGCTTGATCGGATCAACTGCTACTAGCTCTTAAGGAAATGTAGGAGCATCTTCCCCGTTCAGGTGAGGCAGATACAAAGATGAAGGGTTGACGGCTTGGTGAACCCATGTTGGCTGAGCCTTTGGATTCTGGTTCTTTGAAAGAGGCGTCTGAGCCGGAGCCTTTAGCTCTTGAGCCAGATGACCTAATATACCCTTCAACAAGAGTCCCGGTTAACAAAGAACCAGAAAGGTCAAAAGCTAAACCTACTCGTGGATTGAATGCGATTAGAAGGGGGACCGTAGCCAGGGAATGAGGGAGACCAATAATGCGGAGTACATTTACAACATACGCGAGCCTTTCAGTGACGCATGATTTAGCGAAGGCACCTCAGGGAGATCAGGATGACAGATAGAAAAAGCATGAACCCGTGGAAGTTTCATACCTGTCACTCTTGCAGGTTCGGATGGTCAAGATTCAAGAGTCTCTGTTAACAAACTTCTGGTTCCAAGGAAGACCTCCTCAATGCACCTTGTAGATAGCTGGAAACAACTTTGGATCCCTCTGTCAGGGTTGGACCAAAATAGGAGTCAAGATGAAGTTCTTCTTTCCTGCTTGTTTTCTATGCCCATTTCTCGGCCCCTTAAGCCAAGTTATAGTCTGGTCACAAGGTGTGACCTATTGATGCGTGTATAGGAGGGTTTCCAGCATGAAAACTCTAATCGATAGCTACGCGAAAGAAGAGAAAAGCATGGGTGGACAGAGGGCTTCGTTCCTGTGAGGCTATTGTTGATCCGAACATTTAGGCATACGATCACACAAGACAAGAGCGTCTGGTTGCGTCATCTGGGAAGGCATTTACCATACCAACTTGCGAAGAGAATTGTCAATTAGAAGAGCTGTCTTATATGACCTGGTCGAGCTTTCTTTCAATCAACCACTCTTTTCTTCGCTTCGGTTCTGCCTGGAACAAGTAGGCGGCTTGCTTTTCTTTCACTTCAATGGCTATAAAGAGTAGTGCAAAGCCACTTCTAACACATCTTTCATGGGATTGACTATAGAAGAAACAATCGAAGGTTTGAAAGCCGTTACTCTTGCCTTACAGAAGACCGAACTCTTTACCTTTAGTGAGAGGGGCGTGCGGGAAGGAGACTTCAGGCATGAGAGGGAAGCTACTTACGAACCGAACAACTCAAAACAAATACACTAGTCAGACTGCTGCTTCCTTGCTTTTCTTGCTCATTTGCTATGTCTCACTTGTATTTCCTTTCAGTCAGCGATGAGGCAAGCTACTTTGGAACCCATCAAGGCTACTTCACAATAAATACAGCTGAGGAAATTCGAACGCTTCAACAAGGCAGCTTTCGACTTGCATGTGTGAAGCATATAGCTAGCTGCCTTACTTGCTTACCGGAGTCGCTGACAACAATGACTGAAATGAGCCTATGCCTCGTCACTACCTTCTTGGAGGTCATTTGAGTGCAACAATCTCATTCTCTTATGAAAGATGACCTTGGCGGAATGGTTGCTTTGAGAATGGTTAGGAGCTTCGTCGGCCTCTTTGCTTCTTGTTTTATAGTCCCGAACCGCGCCTGTGAGGTGGTGAGCGAACCTTTGAAAGGGAAGGTGAAAATGACATAGACATTTAGTTGAGTTAAGTAGCTTGGAAGTTAGAAAGAATTCGAAATAGATGGAGTGCTTTCATTAGTAACGGTACGTGTTCGTCCCTCATGGCCCTTCAGTTTCAGACTTTTCTCCTGCGATAACCAATACTTCTCTCTGAGATCAAAATCAAGTCTTGGACTGCCCTGGATTGGATCAATTGCCCGTTGTTGAGAGCGCAGGATCCTATATCTAGTTTTCCCGAGCTTGTAAGATTGGATGAGAGAGAAATGGATGAGAATTCTATCTAGGTAAGGCAATACTTGTCAATCAAGAAGGAGCCAGCGGAAAGGACTATTGCTTACCGGAGTAGCCCATAGATGTTCCAATTCATATTTCCTTATTAGAAGATCATTGCTTGGTCCAAAGACATCTCACCCTGGGCTTTTATTTCAGGATAGTGGAAGAAGTGATCTCAACGAGCCTGTGCTTCATAATAGATAGGCACCCATAGATTATGCAACAGAAGGCATCTCAGAGTAGTTTCACAACCTTTCAGAAAAGAGTTACCCCGTTAAAAGAAAGTGAATAAGATACGGGTGGAACCGGTTTACGAGCTTACAGCAGCTTTCGCTAAAGCTTTTTGCTAAGTCCTACTAGTCAGACTCTGGCCGGCCGGGGCCCTTCTATTATCTCTGAGGTATGTAGGGGCGTAACGGCCTTACTTGCTTGTACTTTCTAAGTCTCTTGAAGACGTGGATCTGCGAGGGGATTTTTTAAGAAAGGGTCGGCTAACAAAGTCACAAAGACCCGTGGAGAGGCGGCTACGAAAGAGCGACGGAAGAGGTGGCCCTAAAGCAGCGGCTCGGGTCTTGGAATTGTGGAGTATTGCTCCGCTCTCGGAACATCAGTGTCGAATCAGCCTACGTTCATTAAGCTTTCATAAGATGTTAACATTTTTTACACATTTAGAGATATAGTACCAAAAAGCGTGGTCTTTTTGTTTCAGATCAAAGCCCCTATTTTCATACCTTTCCTTCTATGGCGCGTTCGAAGGCATTTTCTTTTAGCCACCCATCCAAAGTCTAGCGTTCTTGCAATGGAAGCTGTGGATGAACTAATACTGAGAAAATAGCCAATGGTTGAAAAGTATATTGTTGGCTTGACAATGGGCTTCCAGATACTGATCATTATGAAGTTTCTTACCCTCAATCTTCCCAGTGGGTAATGCTGAATGAATAAGACAATTGGTGTAACCAATTCAAGCAATCGGCCGGGCAGCCTGGATTTTGATCTCGCTCTTGGCCCTTTGAGCACCCACACTTGGGAAAACGGGATCATGAAGCTCCGCCGACGCTCCTACGGCCTCGCCAACTGGTCCTGCTCGCTCCGATTCTGCGCCTGTGGCCATTTCCGCTACGCAACAACCGAGACTGCTTAGGAAATGGGACCTCAACGCTTAGGGGATGAGCCTTTACTAGGTTGCATTGGTCGTACCGAACGACATCATATGCTCTACTCACATAGTATAGCGCAAACAGTATTAGGATCAAAGTGGGTGGTTCTTGCTTCATTCAATTTGCTTCATTAAGACTAATATATTGCTGAAATCGAGTCAATAGAAAAGTTCAGCTGACAGGGCGCGGGCCCTACTCCGTATTTACCAGCATTTCTATGGGCAGCTAGACGAATAGCTTCTTAGTCTTTGGTGGCCAGGTCTCCTACAAGATATCCAGGATCTTCTGCTGTCCTGTCAAAGGAAAAGATCACCACCAAGGCTTTCAGTAGTGACTTACTGACCCTTTCTTTTTCTTCATGGCATGGGGATTCAAATCAATGTATCCACAAAGATGACCTGCCAAGGGAAAGGGACCAGCTCGTCCTTTCGGGGTATATTCCTTTAGGCTAAAATGATGTAATGTAAGTAGCGTACCAAGGACTTCATCCTCAATCGGTGTCCATTGGTCCAAGTTGAGGTAAGGCCCAAACTCCAAACCAACCAGCGGAAGAGGTAGACGACCCTGAGGCACCACCAGTGGAATCGCCGCTCCAGCATCAATTGGCAACACTCCGACTGGAAATTTCGCTTTCTTCATTTTATCCGAACACCCAGGTAAGATTCTTGGGTTGATAAAGACTGATCCGTACACCTTGCCCTTTAGTAGACTAACCAATCCTTTTTGAATCCTGTTGGGGAGCTCAGCTCCGCTTAGAGAGACCGGAGATCTGCACGCGGGGAAGCAAGTGCGCTGTGATGAGGAGATTATTTGGAGGATGAGAGAATGGCAAGAAAGAGAGTAAGCATATGCTCCCTTAACTACAGAAAGCACTTCTGGTTTCTTCTCGACAGCAAGGGCTTGGTTTTGGAATGCAAATGGTTGATTTTGCCTTCCTCGCCGGTGGTAATCAACGAGAATCACCATTACTTACTTCATATTGGTACGCTTGTTTGCTTGAAGTAAAACCACAACTCTTCTTTTCCATGCTGTACACTTCCGATATCAGTTTGCAACACTTTGTATAAGTGTATTGCCAAAATCATTGCAAATAGAATCAGTCCATTGTTTTGCCTTCTTGCATTAGCTTAAATTGCCTTTGTCCTGTTTAGCGGTTATTGCCCTGACCCCTGTCCTTAGACTGTCGCCCAGTAGCCCTACTTGCAAATACTGTTGAATCTAGTCTTATCTTGCAGGTGCGCCATGGATTATCGTAAGTGCTACTTGCCTTTAGGTTTCGAAAAGAGCTACCTCCGCACTTTGCCCATCATTGAGCCTATGTTGTTTTAGATTTCAACTTTCTTGCTTCGGACTAGACTGAGAATTCTGTAAAGAAGAGAATGATCACCAACCTCAAATCTCCGTGCTAACTTTGCTATAAGATGATGTCTTTGATTGAATGGTATGATTTGCTCGTGTGGATTCAGAATAGCCCCTGACGGGTTCTCCTTATTGAGGATTCATAAAAGTATTCTAATTATATAGTAGTAAGCCTACTAATTGCCCTTTGTCGTTATCTTCCTAGTGATCTTGCATATACAATGGATTTGCTTAAGCTTGCACCCATACTTTCTCAAGATTCCCTGAAACCTGGCCCTATATAGGACGCGATTTCTTGCTTCTTCTGTCTTTACGGATACGGGCCAGAAAACTGGTTCATGAGAAAACTTGCTTGTGATTGAACCATGCTTATTGTACAACACTTGTCAGAAAGTGGCTTCTTGCCCATGATACAAGATTTTTCCATAGAGTTTGATTGCCCCCCATTTGCATGAAACTAAATGGCAAGGGAATGGGCCATTTTTGTGGGAAGTTCCCGGGCCTTATTAGTAGTTCCCACCCCGGGGGGGCTCCTTTTCAACTCCGACTTTTGAAGTTTCTTGGGGAGATATCGAGTCAAATGGAATATAGAATAGTATTCCCCCCGCATCAGTAAGATAGGTCAAGCAAGGCCTTTTCTTTCGTTTATAGAAAGCCGCTGAAGCTTGAGTGATGTCTTTGATGGGATGAAGAGAGAGATATATAGTTCGTGTGCAGTGAGGGATCTTTATATTCTATTATAGGCAGCCAGTCTTTACTTAACTCGGCCCAAGCAACGCTCCTTCACTCCCATGCCTTTCTTGGTCGGACCAACCCAACCGGTGATTTCCGACAAGTCTTTCTTCATTTTTCGAGCAAGAAGCGGAACGTGAGGGATGAAATGAAAAGTGTTTCTTACGATTACGCCCAACAGCCCACTGGAGCAATTTGCCATTATCCCATTTCTTCCTATTCATATAGGAAACTTGTATTTCTCATTCACAAATCCATCTTTGTTTATGCTGCTCACTCTCAGTTTGGTCCTACTTCTGGTTCATTTTGTTACTAAAAACGGAGGAGGAAACTCAGTACCAAATGCTTGGCAATCCTCGGTAGAGCTTATTTATGATTTCGTGCCGAACCCGGTAAACGAACAAATAGGTGGTCTTTCTGGAAATGTGAAACAAAAGTTTTCCCCTTGCATCTCGGTCACTTTTACTTTTTCGTTATTTCGTAATCCCCAGGGTATGATACCTTATAGCTTCACAGTGACAAGTCATTTGATCATTACTTTGGGTCTCTCATTTTCGATTTTCATTGGCATTACTATAGTGGGATTTCAAAAAAATGGGCTTCATTTTTTAAGCTTCTCATTACCCGCAGGAGTACCACTGCCGTTAGCACCTTTTTTAGTACTCCTTGAGCTAATCCCTCATTGTTTTCGCGCATTAAGTTTAGGAATACGGTTATTTGCTAATATGATGGCCGGGCATAGTTCAGTAAAGATTTTAAGTGGTTTCGCTTGGACTATGCTATGTATGAATGATCTTTTATATTTCATAGGAGATCCTGGTCCTTTATTTATAGTTCTTGCATTAACTGGTCCGGAATTAGGTGTAGCTATATCACAAGCTCATGTTTCTACGATCTTAATCTGTATTTACTTGAATGATGCTATAAATCTCCATCAAAGTGGTTCTTTCTTTATAATTGAAAAAAGGCGAGGAGCAAAGCCGCTTTACCGAGTTTACGAGGTGAAGGAGCGAGAACTTCCCCCCAAAAAAGATTCCGAGCACGTCTGGTCAAAGCGGTTATGCCATTTTGGGCTTTGCTTTAACCGAAGCTATTGCATCGTTTGCCCCAATGATGGCTTTTTGATCTCATCCGTATTCCGATCGAAGAAAGAAAGAATCTCGCTTTTTCTTCATTCGATTTTCGTCTTATTGTAGGTCGGTCATATGTTCCATCTTACATTCCGTCTCTTGTTTGGTTTCTGGTACCGGTTTCAGTTCCTTTGTGAAAAAAAATATCTATATGTCAGGCTTCCCTTCCCGGTTGTCCTGTCCTGTTCAATCCGTTGTTCTTCTGTCTGAGGCAAAGGCGAATCCCTCATACTGTACGGTCGAGCTGGCTTGGCTGGTATATCAAGCATATCGGCATATTGCTTGTTCGGTGTGGTACACATATCTGTCAATGTCAATCAAGTAATATAATGGATTCCCACTGTCTGAGGAAAACGTGAAGAATTGCCATTTGATGAGCTTGTAAGGCCCGTTGAAGTCCCCTAATAAAGGGCCAAAAATGGGGCTATAAGTAGGCCGTTTGCTATTGCTATAAGGGCTGCTCGCCTTTATACGGCTTGGCTTCGCTATCGCTCCTATGTAGTAGTCGACCTAAAAAGTCTCCTGCCATACCAGAATTCCTATTATCTAGTGCGTTAAGCTTCGCCAGAAGCAAGCAAGACGAGGGGAGCGGAGCTTCGTAGACAAAAGGCTCGTTCCGTACTTGACTTACGAGCTCGTGTAGTACTCGCCCCTATCTCGTGAAGGGGTGCACACTCGCTGTCTACTAAACGAGCGTTAGAGCGAGCGAAGCTTTCCATTTAATTTAATGGCTTCCCCCCTTTTCCCTCACCCTACTCTTTCTTTCATTTCCGCTTAAGCTTCCCCGATGAATTGATTGGATACCCGAGAACCATAATCTTTCCTAGGAACAGCTTCTACGACGATAGATAGGGGTCAGGTTTGTTTGGCATCTATGCCCCCTGCCCTCCAAACAGTATGGGAGCCTTTCAGCTCGTACTGCTCACACTCCTAGATCTTCACGGCGTGAGCTGGGTAGCTCTGTGAGCCGGGAGCAGCTCCGAAAAGCGGGGCCTACTTCAAAATGAGCTTTCAACAACGTCGACAACACCACGAAAAAAGTCAACTAGGGGGTTTGCCCACTGATCTGATCATAGGTGAAATCCAATCCCTTCGCTTCGCGCCAGGATTGGAAACCTTCAGTCAGGCTCCCTTAACCTCTCGGAAGCGAGAAAGCGAGCAGCAGGC